TCACTCTGTAGGGTGACAATAATTATTCTCTTTTTATTGCAATATACTCTTGTACTATTATGATAAAAGGTCCTGCAGAATCAAAATATGCAATCAGAAAAACAATTGAACATCAATTTTAAAAAATATGAGCAAATAACCAAATTTTCTTGGAAAAAATCAATCACCCTGTATTTTTTTACAAAAAATGATATACGGGACTTTTTGATAATAGTTATACATTTTACTAATCTCTTATATGTATTTTAGTTGCAGATAACATTTTTAATTTCGACTTTCGATATTTTTTGACACTATTAATCAACAAAATAAAAAAAAAAATTATGTTTAACTTAAGCCCACTTTCAAAAATTTAGAAAGCATTAAAAAAAAATTACTTGTAAGTATAGTCTTGTTGTCGCTGACGCAGCAACTCGGCATTGAAATATTTGAAAAACTTGTTCCTATATTTATTTAGCCATACCCATATACAGGTCTGGTCGCCCAAGTGAAGAATACGCGCGCGGGCAGGCGCCGCACACACACACACAGCCGCACCGGGCGACCGGCCATAAATTTCAGTTGTTAACAAATTGCCTAGCAGTGCAGCGCAGCAATGCGGAATTTGGTGTGATTCAGGTAATTTTAATTTATGATAGGCACCTTCTATTAATCATTCATATTACAATTGCGAAAAAGAGAAATAAGAAGTATAAAAAAAAGTTTTTCCGTTTTTCTCTGTTTTCCTAAAAAATCAGTTTTTCAGCTACACCTATTTAAATTGACGTTCAATTGCTTTGCCCAATAAAAAGAGAATTATTGGTCACCCCGTACAACCCATAAGAATATTTACCAAACAATTACCTGGTTCTGTTGAGAGGTGGCGGTGGCAAAGGCGTTGGCGTCCAAAGGACGGATGTAGTGGACCCCATTCTCGCCTCCTTGCAGCACCCCCACGACCTGACCGTTCGGCGTGGTGACGCTCTGGGTGATCTTTCCCGCCGAAAATTGCGTGGCCACCGGTAAAGCCGCCGACAGAGGGACACCAAACGGCGAGAAGTTCATATTTTCTTAAAGTATCTGTAAAGAGGTTTACTATTATCGAACATTTGCAACAAAAATTATCTAGCCTAGGGCTGATATTAGATTTTCGTAAGTTTTTTAAGTCCTAAGTCTTCAATAGCGCAGTTATAAACCAACTGATGTACTAGCGACATCCGGGGTTCCGCAGGGATCAGTACTCGGGCTCCTGTTATTTAGTATATCCATAAATGACATATTAGAAGATTCAAACATGAATTGAACGCTGACGACCTAAAACTATCCACCTGTTAATTTATGGTGTGCTTTACATAGAAAATTATTCCCATTACATTACAATTACATTGTAAATGATACTATATTGCATTCATTTAAAGACCTGTGTGTAATCTTTAACCAAAAACTGACCTTTGTCCGTCATATCGATCAAGCAATAACTGATGCTTACAGAAATTCGGATTTTATCAAGATATTTTAAGGATACCTCAACTCTTACTATACTTTTCAATGCATTTGTCTGAGCCAAAGAATTTAGAGGTCTTAGTTTTAAACTAGTTGATACTGATCTACACTCGAGGTGCTTCATGGTTGGAATTATTCGGTATATTCAATTTAAAGGACTTTCGAGTTTATTACTCCATACTATTTTTCTATAAACTTTAATCTGTGGCAGTAAACTGTCCAAATATTTTAAGAAACATTCATTTGAATATTCTGGATGTTCAAACTCGCGCTAACGCACTTTTTTATTTGTCTACTCCGAGAACAAACGCACTTAAAAATTCTCCTCTTTATAAAAAGTGCACTCCAATCACATTTTTATCAGTTAAAGGCGAAAGGTGTTATTTGGCCCCCCCGTTACAAGTTACTAAAATATCTAATAGGCGATTCTTTTCAACAGGAAATGGTGTCAATCTTTTAATGACGTTATTAGTATTCATACATTGCCGTGGTTTTTATACCTTTTCTAACAACATGACCTTAACAGATGCAGTTTTAGTGCCATGCGGTAAAAAATGTGCGGTACTCGCGTTGACTTTATAAGGTGTACCAGAAAAGTTTCAAGAGAAGAAGGGAAATATTTTTAAGAGATATGTGTGATGTCTGGTGCATTGACCTGTTATTTCTTGTTCAATAATTTTTAGTGAGCCTTACGTAATTTAGAGCTTACTTTACCATATCTAATAATGTGCAGATCAAAAATCCGTGTCTGAAAGCAATTAAGTATCGTCTGTGTAAAAACAAATTGTTCAAAACGGATGGGACTATACATAGTTCGACAAAAATCTTATTCACTCTTGCAGTCATATACAGGGTGTCCGCAAATTTCAAAGACAACGTTTGACTGCATATTCACGAGGATAAATAAATACGATCTACGAAAAAAAATTAATAAAACCTCTTTGGTTTTTGAGTTAATCCTTCAAAGTTGTTAAAAATAAAATTAATTTAATTAATAACTTCATAATCCTTTCATCGATCGCGTTAAAATTTGGCACATTTATTTGGACTATTATGACAAATTATTTCTTAAAGCTTTAGTCAAATCAATATACTGGGTGATAGTTTTTCCGGTTATCTATTTTTAGCAGTGCGTTATTTTTTATGCTTTGATGCGATTAAAAAATAATAAAAAATATACAAATATACAATATGTATACTGTGTTTCACTTTTCATATTTCACTTATTTGAAATTTTCACATTTTTGTACAAAATAATTAACCAGCAAAGCAATTATTTCGTATTATAATGTCAAAACGTTTCGATTTAAAATAACCAAGATATAAATGTGAAAAGTGAAACACTGTACATTTAAAAATCTGGCCCTTTTCCTCAAAATTAGATGCAACATAAACATTTTTACGTTTCGGCACATTACCACGCAATCCGCATGAAGCTAACTCAAAAATNGCATGAAGCTAACTCAAAAATCCAACGGTGCCATATCGTGACATACAGGCGGTCATTCCTGTAAAAGTTTTAAATTTTACCGAATGCTTCTGTCATTATTACATTAATTTTTTAACAAGTAATATTGTTACAATCTACAAAAACACAGTCCCTGACCTCACTTTTTTGAGTCGTATAAAAAGAGATTTTAAATCAAAATGAGGTCATACATTTACTTGATTAAGAACAAGAAGTTGTAGATATTGACAAGGAGGTTATTAATTCATTTTTAACAATTTTTACCCGCTGAGAGTTTAGTAATTCTTAATTATAAACAGAATCTGGCGCATTTATATCATTTTTATGGAAATTCTAATATTCCAGCATCTTTTTAGGAACAAAAAAATCAAAGCCGGGAAATTCCAATTTTATCAACATATTCATTGATGTTATTGTTGTTATTTTTTCTTTAGGATCGTCTTTTTTTTTCAAAGTTCGGTATTTGTTTTGAGTATGATTTGCCTTTTATTTTCATAACCGTTCGCTGTCAATTTATTTTTGCGTTACGTTCAAATGAATATTGATTTGTAACTTATTTTTCAAAAAAAAAAAAGTTGCCGCATCTGCACTATAAAACAAAAACCACCGCAACCATAGAAAAAAACTCACTTACACAATCGACTAACAACTATCACAACCAAATTAAAGCACCAAAAATTGGGGTATTGCACGGAAAATCACAAAAAAAACTCAAAAATCAAAACAAAAACACGAATTTGACAACCACGTCCTTGGGGGTACCCCCGAAACGCACAAGGGGGGATGTTCTGGCTGGCAAAGAGTGGTGCAGAAGCAACATAAGGTACGCAGAGTGGTACTACGGCGTAGAGTGGAAAGAACTACACGGCGTAAGTGGGGTACTTGGCTAGAAAACGATCACGTGACCTTTTTGGTCTCTGTCGAGTTACCGAAAGGTACGGCCGGTAGGACGGAGAAGGAAGTAGAGAAATCCGACCGTGGGGATGTCAACCTAGTTACCTACTTCTAGATACTTTCACCTGTGTTCGAGCGGTTAGTACGGGAGATGGGGGCGAAAAATCCGAGACGCGCCAGTGTCAGATATCCTTGGATTTCGGTGGATTGGGTGCACTTTTACTGGGCCAGTAATAGTAACGATGTAATACGTGCGACGGGCGAGTTAATGAAACTCGAGATTTTGCTCCGAGATAGTTTCAAAAGTGCAGTTTAAAATGTTTTTCTCGGTCTGGATCGGTACTATGCTAACTACACGAAAGTTGATTCAAATAATAATTTGTACTCTTGTTTTACTTTTATTTTTCCTTCAAGTGTTATGGTTGCTGTGAATTTATATAGATGTATATACAGGGTGCTTCACAAATGGTGGCCAAAAATGAAACTTCGTATTCTTTTGTGAATTTTAAGGGGAGTTCTTCCTAAGTTTTTATCTAGCACACTTCGTTAAAAAGATGCAGGTTGTTAAACTTAAAAAAATGTTTTTCATTTTTTTTAATAATTTAAAAACCAGTGAGTGAAATAATTTGAAATTGGGCATATGTATTTATGTAAACATTATCCAAAATCTGAAGGCTTTTTCTAAAATTTACTTGTTCCAGTGGCGGAGATACAGGGTATCGGTGGCACATTTTTCTAAATAAAATAGTACGCCACTGCTTTACGGTAACAACCATGATATTTTCGGATTCGTCTTTCAATTTTCTACAAATTACTTATGTTTTTCGAGTAAAACTTAAAAAACGAAATGAGAACACACTTCTAGATTCGATTATAATGCTTTTTAAAATGACATCAAATGGGTCATGAAAAAAGTATAGCGCCATTGTTTTTTATCAACTAATAGATAAAAAATTCGTCATTTTTCGTTCTACGCCTTATTGTAAAAAAAATATATTAATCTTAGCAAAAAAGTTCAACAGACGATTTGATGTAGAGAATCTCAACTTTCCCAACATGTGAGTTTTTATGTCCTTGAGATGTGCAAAAGATGGGCTCGATCGGTCATATAGTTTTTGCAAAATTTTTTATTATCCCATTTTTGCAAAAAAGGCACATGTTCAAATGATTATTCCGAGGGCAGGGTTATGACTAAAACATTCTTTTTGGGCTCATTTTCTTCGAAGGGACACCAAGTATCCTTAGGTTCAAAAAAAATTTTTTTTTTTTTTCAAATTTAATTGTATTTAATTGTTACCAAATAGAAGGCACCTTTTTCCCTAATAAACAAATAAAATAAGTCCGCGGTTTTTAATTTTTGAGAGAAATAAATTAATATTTTAATTTTTTTTATTAT